AAGCCTTCGATTCGATTGAGGCATGGGCAGTGCTGCAGTCTCTCCAACTGTGCCAAATTGACTATCGATACATTAAAGTGTTGAAAGGCTTGTACAAATACGCCACAGTGACAGTCCGTTTCAAGACCAGGACCCGAAACCTATCCAGTTGCAGCGAGGGGTGAGACAGGGAGACGTCATCACCATCGCCCTGGAAGATGTTTTTAAGCTTCTGGGCTAGAGCGGATTCAGCATAAATATCAACGGCGAGCACATCACCCAGACAACAGACGATATCGTAGTCATGGCCGAGATCGTGGACGATCTAGACACAATGCTCGATAGCCTCAATAGAGTCTCTCAACGAGTGGGTCTCAAAATGAACATGGACAAGATTTAAAAATCATGTCTAAAGACCGTGTTGCACCCACTCCTCTAAAAGCTGGAGACTCTACACTCGAAGTTGTTGACAATAATGTATACCTGGGACAAACAGTCCAGTTAGGTAGGTTCAACTTCGAAAAAAGGTCAATCATCGAATCCAGCTCGGCTGGGCAGCCTTTGGGAAGCTTCACGATATTTTCACGCGGCGTCTCCGTCGCGTTGCCGCTCCGCTTTAAATCTGCTTTGAATCCGCTTGCAATCCGCTAGGGTGGCAAGGGCCTTAAAACTCAGAGGCACATTGATGTTCAAATACCGTAGCCGAGTCCTAAAGCCGCGGTACGCGTTCGCCACGAAAAGAGTGAGCAAGACAGCAATATCTCACTCACACGTGTCATGCCTTGTTTATAACGACTAGTCTTAACGCCCAGTTTCGAAACATTACAAATAATATCATCAAAAACAACAAAATTAAAATTAAAACTAAATGTATTCTATCGAGAACACTGAGAATATTCCCGGGAGCGTTCTCGGTTCTCGAGAATATTCTCATTGGGAATATTGCCGGGAACGAGAACTTTCTCAGCGGCACATCTCTGGGCGTGATCACATTAAGAACAAAAGGGAACAAATCAACAGACAATGGGACTTTTCAAGACAAGAGTGTATAGGCATTTTGTACCACCCTAGACTGCATACTATCTGCTTAGTTATTTATTTATTTATTTATTTTATTTTATTTTATTCGGATAACCAACAGCAATACAATACAAATAATGCATAGAAAAAACTTCTTGATATACAATGGATACTGGGAAGAAGAAGCTTGGAGAAGAAACTATGTACAAATGCATCCTAAGACCCATGTAGACATATGGCATCGACTAAGCCTCGCAAATGTAGAAATACTTTAACGTTTTCAAAATAAAGTATTAAAAATCTTGACCTGTGCACCTTGGTTTACAAAGTCCACTGTAGTGATACCAAACGTCAAAGAGGGTGTAGAAAATTCCTGTAAAGCTTAAAAACAAAGACTAGACCGTCATGAAATCTATTTGCTACATCCCTTCTTAATTCTGAGAATTATGCATTCAGGCTCAACTTATTGTAAAAGAATCGAGGTGACAAATCATGGGATATGCAGAGCTGGAACTGTCATTATTACAAATTCAATTTAATCTGATAATGGGTGATGGCTGATCGTAGATTCTATAGATTAAAAAGAGGAAAAATCACTTATATCATTAATTACTTTTTCGATATATGCACATCCGAAAAGTCTAATTTGTGAGACCTGATCCATTATTTGTACGTTAAATCGTTTGTACTACATTTCAATCAAATAAATGATGATTAAGATTCTGATCCAGCTAAATGCTGTCATTTGAAATGTGACACGTAGCCCCTTCTTGCTGAAACTAAGTGTTCCTGTTATAGCCTCGATTCTTGCATATATCAATAATATATCTTGATCAATATCTTTAATGTGAAATTAGTGTTTTTCTTTTTGCAAAGGGTTATCAAGTGTACCTACAGTGTTTTTTATGATGCTATATACATATTTGTATACAAATTTATCAATGCAAGATGTTGTTTTTTTTGTTATTTTACATATCTTTTCTAATTACCGTTAGATTAAGTATTAGCATTATCTAATTGCCGTGACCATAAAATTTTTGGGTCTCCATTACGCGAAAACCGCTTTGAATAATTTGACGCCTTTACGATTGTTAAATTCGTACTTTTCATGTGTTTTATATTTAAATGCATTGAAGTCAATAAAGCCAAATTTCAAAAATGATATGGTAATTAGGCTGAGAACGCCTTATCGTGAGAATGACCGAAAAAAGTTATGTTAGACATTAAAAATAGGAAAATTTATCTTGCTTTAGTTTCTTTGAGGATATTTTATCATAAAATTAATCCGAAAGGAAATATTAATAACAAAAAAATAAAACCGACTCCAAAAATCCTGCACTAAAAAGTAAAAAATAATTACATTATTTATTTATTACGACAAATGTATTACTTCTGAAATATAATTATTGTGGTAACGACGGACAACTACGGAAGTACGGAACCCTATGCAACATATCCGCTCCATGATGAATTTTACTAACCAGAGTTTCTCAATGTAAGTGAATATATTGTCTGTTTTGAGAAATAAATGTCTTAAACTGTTTTCAGTGATATCAAAGATTTTTGTCATAGTAGTACGTAGAAAGAAAATTGAAAACATAATAATATCCATTGATGAATTGTGGTCAACATATGGGGTTCCAAGACGTAATAAATATATCCACTCAATGAATTTATTATTTGGAGGTAAGTTGTTTGGTGTAAGTATATTAAGGAAGTTTTGGGCACATTATATTTTGTGCGGTAGCATACCTACTTACTAAGTTCATCATCATCATCATCAACAGCCCTTTACAGTCCACTGCTGGACTATGCGCCTCCTCCACTATAGTGTATTTTAATAACTTACTAAGTTATTAAAATGTTTTGTTTGTCACATGAAAAAGTTAAATAAATACAGCTACAGCTCTATAAAAACTTACATTAGTCTGTTAATCCATTCTTTATATTTTTAGGAACATTCCTTTGGGTCACACTTGGAGGCGTTGTATGGATGCTCGTTTATACAGAGATGGCTATTTCAACGATTCTTTCGAAAAAAGATGTGCATGAGAGACATGAAATGTTCATAATGTGTCTCTATATGTTTTTAACAGTGCCTTACTTCTGTAGGTGTCTACATATTAATTAACTAGCTTTAGCCCGCGGCTTCACCCGCGTGAAATTCACTGTCACATCGTGAATTTCACGCGGTCGATCGGCATAAATTATAGCCTATATCTTAATCTGGGTTACAAACTGTAAAGTTTCAACAAAATCCGTTCAGTAGTTTTTGCGTGAAAGAGTAACAATCATCCAGACATCCTGACATCCAAACTTTCGCATTTATAATATTACTAGCGGCCGCCCGCGACTTTGTACGCGTGGATCCCGTTTTACCCCCTTTTCCCGAATTTTTTTTTTGCTATAAACCTCACGGAGCCCGAGACCTTTCCAACGAATGCAAAACCGTGGAAATCGGTTCGTGCGTTCTGGAGTTATAGCGTCAGGGAGGAAAACCCGACTTATTTTTATATAGTAGATATTATATTATATTATTATATTAAAATAAAATATTGATAATTAATTACACAGGCCTGCAAAATGAGGGTCATAACTTCCTCTCTGGGATTTGATAGCTGATTCTAGGGTATTTTGGTGCGCTGATTACGAATATGTACTTAGTTTTTCTCCATCACCTCCAGATTTTTCAAAAAAGGTACAGATTGAAAATAGGAAAAAAATCATAAGTTTTTACATAAAAAAATATATCTTTAAAGAAGAACATTACTTTTAACTTAAAAAACTACTAAAACATAATAAAAACTTATTACTAGTCTAAATTACATGTTAATTTTATTTGTTGAACCTAGTCGTAATTTCCTGGAAGCTTCGGTTGTGCAATTTTTGCTTAAATTTTCGGTTTATATCATCGCGCTTCAATAACCAGCAATAGTCCGCGATCATGCTAGTATTCCATCTGCCTTGATACCGGACTTCAAGCTCTTTCAAATCTTGGTGAAATTTTTCGCCTTGTTCTTCGCTAACGGCTCCTAGATTTTTTGGGAAGTAATCAATGCGTGAATTAAGGAAATGAAGTTTAATGCTCATTTATCAACCCATTACACCAAAAGTTGTAATCATTTTGGCCACTATTTCTTCACAGTTGGTGCATAGGCATATCTATAGCATAGGCGAAATGATTTTGAAGCAATTTTTCTGTCCTTTTGACCACTTGCGAAGTTCTAATAAACAAGTCGTACAAATTTTATGAGGAGTCCAAGTTTTGTCTTGGTTACTTAAAACGTCTCCAAAATAACTTTAGTAAATATTTTTTAACAAGTCTGTAATGCTGTTTCGTTGTTTTATCACCATAAAAATCCCGCAAATATTACAAAAACTATTCAGTGAATTTAAACAATGACATTTTAAAGTTTATGTTGCAAGATCCGCAGTTCAACTGTTAATTTTATAATTCTGTGCGGGTACTTATACAAAAACCCTTTGGTTTATCTTTATTACACCCTTTTCTAATAATATTTGCAACAATTAAGTAATATTACCTAATCATTATGTATGAATGAGCTCATTACTAAATTAAGCCAAAATACCCCCTTTTCGATATATTTAATAAGAATTACTTATAATACACATTATGTAGTAATTAACAAATTACTGATTTGCATTAACTTCTATGTCACCTTACACTAATAAAAGACAATAAAAATTAAGCTGACGTAATTTAATGACGTTTTATAAATTTTAAAATGTAGGCGCTCAGACATTTTTAAGCAAAATCTTAAATATTCAATATCAAAAAATCCTGACGTGATGGATTTTTTTATTATTTTTCTCGTAATCAGCACATCAGAAACTATAGAAAACGTTACTCAGATTTCAAAGAGGAAAACATTGCAGACCTGTGTTATTAATAAGTAGGAAGGATAGTAGGAAGACATTTAGATCCAGAAATATCGACCAGATTTTATAAACTATGTGTGACAGGTGCCATTCTTGCACTGTCAGTGGTCGCTGCAGCTGGCATCGCACAGCTTAGATGTACAGTATTCACCAGTCCATCCAGGATCGCAAACGCATGATTCTCCAACGCATCTGCCGTGAGGGCCACAATCTAGATCGCACACTTCTGCAATAAGAAACGTTGATGATCAGATGACTGGTAACAAAAGTTGAATAAATAAGAGTTATATGAGCCGAAACATACCTTTAGAGCAGTCGTCACCCGACCAGCGAGCGTGACACGTGCAAGTGTGCGTGTCGACATCGAAAGTTCCATGACCAGAACAATCTGGCAAGCATTGTAGTGCATCTTTATCCATGGTAGCGCAGTCCAATCCTTTCCACCCCTTCTTACAAACGCAACACATAACTAATGTGTAAATAATGAGAAAAGTGGTCTTTCACTGATTGACAATTTAAATAAAAAAGTATTATAATGGGGACGTGATGATATGATACTGCATGAGGCTGTAAAAATTTGGAAAAGTCTAAAATAGAAAGACACGGGTCTTAACGCGACATTTATTAATGAGTTACATTATGTACCTATTGATGTACTCGCGGCTTGACGTTTCGGCTGCTATGCTGCAGCCGTGGTCACAAGAGGACGGGAAGAGCAGAGTTGGTATTGCGGCGCGTCTAATTTTCTGTAAGCCACCAAATCATGACCAACTTTTCAGGTCCGTTGATGGATATTTTTTCCGTCACGTTTCGTTGTCTGATGGGTACCATCATCATAAATGCGAGCATGCTGTTTCTGCCGCTACAGACAGAGTTGGCGAAAGTCATCGACATAGGCAAGGCACGGAACGCTCAACTAAACGAATCAGAACTTGAAGAAAGACTCAAACATTTAATTAAATATCATCAGAAAATCCTCCAGTAAGTATTTTGAATAGGGTTTCTGCTCGAGCTTTCTCGAACTCGAGAAAACTCGAGAAATTTGGCTTCATTCGAGACGAGAAAAAAATTACCGGAGCTCGAGGATTCTCGAGTTTCGATTTTGAAGCTTTAATATTCTTGAAAGCCTATTTTCTTAGACAAAAGTAAGTTTTTTTTATTATTTAATAGGTTAAAATTGCTTTTAGACTGGCCCAGTCTTTCCTTTTTACAAGCTTTATATTGACTTCACTTGTTTAACTGATTTGATTTGCAAGTAATGATCTCAATCGAAACTAATAATGTTCACCTACGAGTATGCTATATTTATTATGTTTGTTTAACTGACTGATTTAAAGATGAAAAATATGTTAACTGTCTGTTAGGTTAGGTACTCGTAAATACGTTTATTCAAGTCGTTGTCTTTAAAAAAAAATTACTAAAAATATTTTTTTGTTTATTATCGTAATTTAAGTAGGTTAAATGTAGGTTTATTATCGTAATTTTGCTATTAATTTGGACTCGTGTTCTTTGAAAAACAAATGATTCAATTGTAGCTCCAGATTTTTATTGTTATTTATCCTTAAATTATACGCGACTTTGTGACTTTTGTTCCTTTCTTTATAAGTAATGATTATTATTAGTTAATATTAATTATGAAAGATTTTATTTTTCTTTCTTTCCTTACCCAAATAAGTGGTACCAAATTCGAATATTGATTGTTGTGCTATAAAAGTAGGTATATTAAGTTAAAAAAAACCTGTGTTATTATTAAATTTCAGTCGATTTCAACAGTTTTAATAAAAAGACTCGAGACCTGAGAAAACACGAGACTTTGGCCTCGAGAATTCCCGAAACTCGAGAAAATAAATAAGTCGAGAAATCAGAAACCCTAATTGTGTCGTCATTTGTTTACAGGGTAACTGACGACATTCGTAAAGTATTCTCCATTCCATTGCTTTTTGATATGTTAGCGGGATCAGTACAGTTGGTACTCTGTGGAGTCTGGTTTTTAACTAATTTAAAAGTAAGTAAAGTTTATTTTATTTCATATCAATCGGTAGGTATAATACACTCGGTTATTTTAACATTTTTATATGATGCCTGAATAATATTTTAGTACGGCCTATCGGATATCCCTACATATACCTGGATCACAGTATTGAATTTTCTATCACTATTCATCGCCCACTGGACCGCACAAGTTTTGGCTGATATGGTAAGTAGCAGTTCTTACATTATGTACCTTTTTTTCCGCTTGGACAATAAGAGCAAGCAGTTTTGTTACGTATTGTTTATTCGAAAATTAAATCCTTACCTGCGTTTAGTTAGTGACCAACATGCGCGTTGCAGACTTAGAGCTATTTAAGTTAGTTTAGCTTAGCTCACATAGGGGTGCGATGGTGAGGGACCTCCATAGCTGGGCATTAACTCGTTAACACCTTTGCTGCGGCAGTAACTTTCTAATACTTTCCATTCCTTCGGTACAAGGTCAGTAAACCTGGTATTAAAACTTACATTGTGGCGGCACAAGGCTTAAAGACCTTGTAATATTTAAGATATATTAAATTTATTTTTGGCTTCATGTTAATAGCTATTGTGTTTTTTTTCTTTGAATATTAATGATAATGCATTTATTGACATACACCTGAAGGCGTTCGTGAATAACTTGTTTAGTATAAAAATTATAGCTATATTCAAAATACAAGGCTTATGCACCCTGTGCCGCACTGAAGTAGGGAAGTCTGGTGGGTATTCTAGGGATGTGAAATACAAATATCGATAGTTTAAATTAAGTTTTAATAAAAATTTTAAAAAGTAATAAACAAAGATGTTTTAATAATTTAGTCTAATTATTTTACAAATAAGACATACGTGCATAAATACTTA